CTCCATCTGCAGCTGGATCTGCGTGGGGCTCAGCCCGCTGATGGTCACRTTATTTCCAGAAACGTTCTGCACCGTCAGCTGCTGCTGCCCTGAGAGGTGAAAAAAAGGGATCAGGATCCTCTCTGACCCCACAAAAAACCCCAAAATCCGCCCCATCCCCTTCGCGCCCCCCGTTCGCCGGTAAGTCCCCTTTTTTCTGAATATACTGTGCGGTTTTTCAAAGTTTTCCGTTCGACCCCTTTTTTGTTTTTTTGTTTTTTTTTAAGGGAGGCGGGGAAAAAAACCAGGATCAAAGAGGAAACAAAAAAGAAACTTTGAAAAAACGTGCAATATATTGAGCAAAAAAACGGGACTTACCCCGCAGCCTAAGGGGCGCTCCAGGCTCGGGCGTCCCCGGCAGCCGTGACGGGGGCTGGAAAGAAGAAGACGGGGGGTCAGCRTCAGCAAGCGGGGTTGGGATTGGGATTAGGATTGGGATTAGGTCGGGATTAGGGTGGGGAGGATGAGAGGAGGAGGAGGAAGGGAAAAACGAGGGGTTTGGCAGCGGAGGAGCGAAGGCAGCACGGAGGGAAGGAGCGCAGGCAGAGGGAAGCGCGAAGCTGAGGGATGTGGTGGCTCTTTGGTGGCTCTTTGGTGGCTCTTTGGTGGCTCCTTGGTGGCTCCTTGGTGGCACAGGAATGTCCTGGCTGAGCTCACGGCACCCGTGGGTGATGGGGTCCTATTGGTCCCCTCCCCATTCCCCTCTGGAATCTCCAATTCAACCCCCTGAGACAGAGATAAAACTGCCCGGGGACACAAATCCCTGCCCAGGGACACAGATCCCTGCCTAAAGTCACAGATAAAACTGCCCAGGGACACAGATCCCTGCCTAAAGTCACAGATAAAACTGCCCAGGGACACAAATCCCTGCCTAAAGTCACAGATAAAACTGCCCAGTCACAGATCCCTGCCCAGAGACATTGAGAACAATGGGGCCGGTTTGGGATCAGGAGCCCTCTGGTTTAGGATCAGGAGCAGCCCGTTTTGGGATCAGGAGCACACCAGTCTGGGATTTAGGAGCACACCAGTTTGGGATTTCAGAGCACCCCAGTTTGGGATTTTGGAGCGCCCCAGTTTGGGATTCTGGAGTGCCCCAGTCTGGGATTTAGGAGCACCCCAGTTTGGGATCAGGAGCACCCCAGTTTGGGATTTTGCAGTGCCCTGTTTTGGGATCAGGAGCACCCCAGTTTGGGATTTAGGAGCACCACAGTTTGGGATTTCAGAGCACCCCAGTTTGGGATTTTGGAGCGCCCCAGTTTGGGATTTTGGAGCGCCCCAGTCTGGGATTTCAGAGCACCCCAGTTTGGGATTTAGGAGCACCCCAGTTTGGGATTTCAGAGCATCCCGGGTTGGGATTTTGGAGCGCCCCAGTTTGGGATTTTAGAGCACCCCGTAGGAGCACCCCAGTTTGGGATTTTGGAGCACCCCTGTTTGGGATTTTGGACTGCCTCAGTTTGGGATTTTGGAACACCCCAGTTTGGGATTTTGGAACACCCCAGTCTGGGATTTTTGAGCACCCCTAGAGCAATGGGGTCACCCCGTGAACGGCGATCCCCGGCCATGGCACTGCAAGCACTGAACTCTGCCTGTGAGTGCCTCTCCCGGGTTTGGGACCGGCAGCCCTCGCTCCAGGGGACGTGGGGACACGTTCCAGCCCCGGGAAGGGATCCACGGCACAGGGGCCATAGGGACAATCCCATCCCTGTGCCCCGCTGGGACCCCGTTCTCAGGAACAGAGACACCCCAAGGTGTGCGGGCACAGAGCTGGGCTGGGCTCACAGGAAACCTCAGCTCCTTCCTGCAGAGCTGGGCCAGGCCAGGCAGCTGTCCCGGTTATCCAGGGACACCCATGGGACACCCATGGGACACTCCCTGTCCTGCAGCACCCACAGTTGGCACTGACCCTGCACAGCCACACTGCCCTCGGGGCCACCAGGGATCTGATCTGATCCCAACAAACCTGATCTCTGATCCTAATCCCTGATCCCTGATCCAATCTGATCCCATCAAATCTGATCTCTGATCCCTGACCCCAGCTGATCCCAATCCCTGATCTGATCCGATCTGATCCCAACAAACCTGATCTCTGATTCCTGATCTGATCCAATCCCATCAAATCTGATCCCTGACCCCATCTGATCCCAATCCCTGATCTGATCCGATCTGATCCCAGTCCCTGATCCAATCTGATCTAATCCAAATCCCTGATCCAATCTCTGATCCAATCCCAATCCCTGATCCAATCTGATCTAATCCCAATCCCTGATCCCTGACCCCATCTGATCTAATCTCCGATCCCTGACCCCATCTGATCCAATCTCCAATCCCTGATCCGATCTGATCTCAATCTCCGATCCAATCCCAATCCCTGATCCCAATCCGATCTGATCCCTGATCCAATCCCAATCCCTGATCCCTGACCCGATCAGATCCCAGTCTCTGATCCAATCCGATTTGATCTGATCCCTGATCTGATCTGATCCCAGTCCCTGATCCAATCTGATCCAATCCCAATCTCTGATCCCTGACCTGATGGGATCCCAGTCTCTGATCCAATCCAAATCCCTGATCACTGATCCCAATCCGATCTGATCCTGATCCAATCCCAATCTCTGATCCCTGGCCCGATCGGATCCCAGTCTCTGATCCCTGACCCGATCTGATCCAATCTCTGATCCCTGATCCAATCCGATCTCAATCTCCGATCCAATCCCAATCCCTGATCCAATCCCAATCTCTCATCCCTGACCCGATCAGATCCCAGTCTCTGATCCAATCCGATTTGATCTGATCCCTGACCTGATCTGATCCCAATCCAATCCCAATCTCTGATCCCAATCCAATCCAATCTGAATCTCTGATCTGAATCCAATCCAATCTGAATCTCTGATCTGAATCCAATCCAATCTGAATCTCTGATCTGAATCCAAT